ATGTAATATCTTATCGAAAAATCGCGCGACGGCACCAGTTGAAAATAATAATTTGACGGTTGGAGTGTACCGTTGGTATTATACGTATGTATATATATATATATATATATATATATGTAATATCTTATCGAAAAATCGCGTTTATATAGATAGATATTGGTAAGCTGGGGTATCAAATAAAATATCCATCACGATCGCCGATCCAACGTCGTGTACCGTAACCTATTCGATTCCCGACGCCCTACCAATACGGTATAGTGGAAAAAGGATGATATAAAAAGTGTTAAAAAGAGAAAAGAAAAGAGAGGACGGAAGGAAAGAAAAAAAAAAGAAAAGGAAAAATAACTCTCGATAGCCACGGCCGCAAGGTATCTCGTGAAGATAAGTCCCTCCACCCAGTCTGGAATTCCCTAGTAGTTTCAAGACAATTCCAGGCGGGAGCAAAGGCTCTCGAGTCGTTAACTCGATAACTCCCGTAATTGCCCGATGGTGGCCATAAGGTTTTGTCGAGCTGTCGGTGACGCGAGCGAGGATTGCGAGAATCTAGTTGTGGAAATTTTCATTGTAGAATCTCATCGAGGTATATTACTGCTTTGACGACCTTCTCAAGGTTCGCTTTATTACGGTGGCGACGTTTCGCCGCTGTCGTCGCCACCGTCGCGGGGAACGTCAGTGCGCATGCGCCGGCCTCGCAGTCTCCATGGTGATTTTAACAAGTTTTACGCCGGCACGCGAAACCTCCTTCTCCGTGTCTTACGTCGAGTTTAACTGTTACCTGACAAAACGTCGGTTTATTCTTTTCATATCCCTGTTACAGGGTTCGCGCTCGAACCTCACGGAATAGGTTAGGGTTATACGCGGTACATCTAGTCGTCTGCAGTAACATGGCCGCGCCTTGTTATGCCGTGAGTACGTGGTTTAATGTGAATTTAGCACGAGTCCTGGAGATAATCCGCAAGAGCACTGCCGAGTCCATCCGCATTCCTGGCTGGCGTACCTCGCGGAAGCTACGACCCGGGCGTTCTGTCGACGTATAAATATAATAGCCCGGAGCCTTTGGCTGACCTTGGATTGTGGGGGCTTAGGCCTGGTTATCCCGACGTGAAAGAAAGAACCGTTCGGGGGGGGGGTGCTGGCCATCACGCTCGACAACTCGGAGTCCCAGACACGGCCGCCACGTAAATACGCGAGAAAATAGAAGAAAATCTT